TATAAGATCTAAATAGAAAACTACACACAAACATTATGTCATCTTCCGAACAATTCGGAAATATGATAGAATTCCAGAAGAACGGTAAACTTATACTTAGAAGTATAAGTAATAAAAAATGTTCGACCGAAAAAACATCAAGTATGGTTGCTAAGACACGTTGCGTCCGTTTATGCTACCAATCGAGCTATACGGGCTGGAACTATCGGTCCCCAAGGTCCTACCATTCCAGACAAGTCGGTCGAAGAGCGGTAAAACGAAAAGCAGCAAACCCAAGGTTCGAACGCAAAGTCGTCCTGCTGACTGTACAGAGGTGTGGCGGCAGTAAACTGTTTCCTTTAGACAACCAGCATAACAGCGATGCTGTCTTCCCACAAGTAGGAGTAAGGTTAGAAAAGGTCAAACCTGAAAATGTACATCTCGCCTTATCCCAAGGATTTCCGTCTTCGGCGGTAAGGTTCAAATGAGTACGGAGCTAACAAGAAAACTACTCACGGAAAGGTCATGTGTGACCGACCTCAAGCAGTTGTCCCTTTGGCACTGCAGTCTAAGGAACGACCGTGAGCAGTGGTGGGCAACGAAAGCGAAAGAGATGGAAAAGGCAGAGGCTGTAGGTAACACCAGACAGCTTTTCAAACTGATAAAAGAAACTGGAATAAAGAAGTCGTCTGTAAGTTAGACGATGTCAGAAAAAGACAACACTCTTAGCTGCTTTCAGACCAGACGTTTAGAACGATGGGCGGAACAGTTTAAGGAGTACTTCAGCCGGCCCTAATATAATCTACAGCTACCCACCATTCGAAAGCAGCCTGAATGGAATATTGAAATAGGTCTCCCGAATCTAACTGAAGTTTAAAAATCTATAGCTAATCTGAAATGAGAAAGAGCAGCTGGTCCAGATGGATTGGCTCCAGAGATCTTTAAGGATGGTGGTCCAATTTTAGCGATTAGGTTGACTAATATTTTTGCCGAAATTTGAGGACTGGACGTAATCCCATCTGACTGATCGCAATCACTGATTGTCCCAATATATAAGAAGGGGTCAAAATCACCATGTGGTAACCATAGAGGGATTAGTTTGATTAAAATACCATCTAAAATACAAGCCTCAATAATTATCGGGCGCCTAACAAAGACTCGTGAACTGCAAACACGAGAAAATCAGACAGGCTTCAGACCTGGTCGTGGCTGCATCGACCACCTATTCACCATTCGTCAGGTTTTAGAACAGGCAGGTTCATCGGCGTCCGAAAATGATAGTTTTTTTTGACTCAAAAGCAGTATTTGACTCTGTAGAACCAGAGGTCCTATGGCAGAGTCTGTCATCGAAAGACGTACCTCAGGAGTACATGCACCTTGTGAAGGCTCTTTACTCGAACACTATCAGTTGAGTAAGAGCTTAAGGCAAACTGTCATCTGATTTCTCAACCTCAAGTGGTGTCTGACGGGACTGTCCACTATCTCCACTTTTGTCCAATTCCAACACAGATTTACTGCTGAAAATAACGTTCACGTCGACTGAATTTTCGGGCATTGATCTCCTTCCAGGAGGTCTATTAATCGACTTAGGATACGAAGATGATAGTGTGTTTGATGAAAGCTGACAAAATGAAGTCTTTTGGTAGCACTAAGCAACAATGCCAGGATGTTTGGAATGCGTTTCTCCCCCTCTAAATGCAAACTGTTGCTCCAGGGTTGGCCTGCGCCAACACCTGAACTCAGGATAGGGAGTGGAGCAGTCGAACGCGTGACAACCTCACTTATCTCGGAATTCTGATCAACCCTAATTGGTTGGTATCTGACGAAATCTCTACACGGATTCAGAAAGCTCGTTTGGCTTTTACCAACTTACGTCACCTATGGCGAAGGCTCCCTTACTTTGTTGTTATGCTGTTTGGATCACTCACAGGGCGGAAGATGGTTCGATGTGATACATAAAATCGGTTACTATACAATCGATTGGTTTGACACAATAGGGTCAGACTTAACAGTAGTCTTTAGACAGTGAAGCTGATTTGGTAGAAATAACCACTGCTATGGTTTATAATCTATATCAACGCAAAAGATGACTTTATAAACGAGATTGTTTGACAAATAGGATTTATTTTATTTAAATTCTTCGAAAACTTATTCCAGATTATCTCTAACATTTACTAATGGTTACCAACAAAACCAAGCAAGCGCTATATCGCAGTTTCTTCAACTCCCTCCATATGGGGTAAGAACTTTCAGTGTTTAAGAAGCATTACCGTTTGTAAACATTAGTGATACTTGTACATCAAAAAAGAATTAATTTGAAGTATAACTTTTGACTTCATGTACAAATAAATTGTAGTTATCAGCACATTTATCAAAAGCTATATAAATAACAATCAAGTTTATTTGTCTGTTTGTTAGGGAAACTGTCGTTTTCAAATTTAGTTTATATCTTAAACTTTATGAGGGGTTGATAATAATAATTATAATACTGGAAGAAAAGCAACGCAATATGAAAATGAAACCTGCCTTTAGTCTTCTCGTAGGATGAACTATACACGGTTTCTTGATAGAGTAAGGTAAAATAATCCTGATATTTTAGTTGGTATTTGGTTTTACATTTTGAACTTGGGCTGAAATTCAAAATTATGGAGACGATACTAACGAATGGTAGATTGGTGGTTAAAGAAACCCACTACTGTGCATGAGTTGGTAAGCTGGAACATTACTTCGGCTTGTGCAGTTGGAGCAACCGGATATTACCACTAATCCTCTGATAAAGTCAAGCACAAAAGTGTGTACTTGATGGTTAATTTGTAAATAGACAATCATAATAATAATTTGTCTATATTAAATCATTGTGTTTGACGGTCTATTGAGGATTTTGTTAAGTTATCAGGCTTCAGTTTTTAAAGTAGATATTTACTTTTGAAGGATCCATTCAGCAAGCTAATAATACTGATAATAGCTTGTACTCCGGGCTAGTCTGTTTTCAGAGTAAGTTAACATACAAATGGTTTGACTTTATGGTGGATTGTATTAGGGAAATGTTGTTAATAAAGATATTTACGAATTTATTAACATTAATATTGACTAATACATTCTAACCCAAAATTTAAAAAGCCTGAATATGATAGCTGTTTGTTTCATGAGGCTTTCAATGAAGTACATAAATATGTACTAATGAGTGTGCAACCAGGAATTAAGTGTTACACCAATTTATTGTCTGCTTTCTAGTTTTCCCTGGTTTATTTAAATGTACGGTTCCACTTATTCTCACTTTCTGTGATATTGTCAAGAGTGGTGACTTAAGTCGAAAATTTTTTGGTGTATCACTTTTTTAGTCGAGCAAATCGCTGACGTAAGCTAATTAGAAATAACTAAAGTTTGAAAAAATAACTTAATCGGACCGTTAAATATAAGGGTTGTGATAAACAATCAATTTATTCCTCACAGAGGCAGTTGGTATACTATGAACATAAAACAGTTTGTTAGGCCGTTAAAACTGAAGATTTATGATGAAGTATTATATAGCTTTGGTGGGTGATGTATTATGGGCAGAACCATAAAAGTATGGAGCAATAAGAGAAAAATATATACATAAATGTAGTCCTGAATTGAAGCTACTAACTTATGTAGGCTAACTTTAGTGGTTACCCAAGTAGTCACGTTTATTTATTTTTAGTGCTGTAGAATTAATACAGTAAAACGTCTTACAAACGAAATACCAAAATCAAAACACCTAGGGTCTACTTTAAAAATGATAGGTAACGGGAAATTTTAACAAGTGCACCTCCATCACAAAACTTTATAAACACTAAATATTTTTGAACACGAGTTATACAAAGGATCTCCGTAGAGTTATCTCCCAAAACACTTGCCGAATGGCTAAGCAAAATGAGTGATTTTATTATTTGACTGCAACGTAAAAGAGGTAAGCGAAGTGATTTACGTTTTTATTGTATTTTCAAAATATCTTAGAATAGACACTTGGTTGAAAAATTATGATTGCAATGTTTTATAATTTTCAACACAACCCCTAACTTCTTCCTATCGTATTATTACATACTGCTTCGTCTGGATGCTACTGGGGATATATATCAAACAAACATGTAATTTAAACTGTTGTTTCTTTAAAAAAAAGTAACTATATTTTCATAAAATACACATACGGTATATCTACCAACACTACTAAATATCTTTAAAAATAGAAATCATGATCGCTTTTATTGGACGGGGTATTTTTGCAAGGGTATCACTAGAATGAAATTTGTACAGTACTATCGAAACAAAAACACAATAGACTCATTTATTTGAGGATTTGGAAAATACACATACGAGAACTTAATCATGTTTGATATAACACATCCAACAAATTAGAGAGGAAGCAGACAAAGAGATACGAAGTCATACACTAGGATTAAATTTTTCACTACTATTTAAAATGATTATGCCGTCATGACGAACATTCATGTTGTGTTAACATGTGCACAATGTAGTTAGATGTTACTAGATAATGTAGAGGAAAGAATCAAACTCTAAAAGTTGTCGAAAGTTGGGGCAAATGAATGTTTGTAACGAAAAACGTTAAGTAAAGGAGACCCAAAACTATATGAACTGTTCCTTATCTAAAGTGATTTGAAAAACTGGATCGTAATTATGCACAATGTTCAGATACCAGGGCACTAGTGTTTTTAATCATATGAAGTGAAACCAATACGAATATTTATCACAGGAATAAATACTACACAAATGCACCACTAGTTGGTGTGGCACAAATTTCAGTCATGGAGGAAGTTAAACTCAATGTCCCAAAAGATAAAATACTGCTAACTATAGAAATGTAAACAATCGCACTAACAAAATGTTTAAAACATGTTGGAACTCAGTGACTAGCTTTGCACACCAGAATACTTTGGAATTAAAACATTTGAACAGCATTAAAATCAATACAGAAATAGCCAAAACCAGAGTTCTATAGTGCTTAGCATAAATTTCTTAAAGATCTTATAATTAGGGATTACCGTTTTTTTAGCCTCGACAAAATTTTTCCTGGGTTTTGAATCAATACATCGCAGAAACTTTTTAACTTCTCCTTTCGTCCATTTATTATAAACAGGCACGTAGTTGGGTATATCATCAACTGCCTTCGGAATGCTATAATTATGCCAGTGTAGCAATATTAAGGCTAATTCTTGAGTGTATCTGTGGAAAAAATTAATTTAATCCGACTTACTGATGCTGCCTAGCAAACTCAAGGTAGGAATTAAGCTCTCGCATGTCAGGTTGCTGATTTGGCAACCAAATACTAAATTCCTTCGGCGATAAATTTTGTAACTCATCATATGAGAATTTTTCAACATATTCCGAAACGTCAGCCTGGAAATCACTCCCCACTCTAGAACAGCCGTCTAAAAAATGCAAAAAATAGTAAAAATAAGTATCAATGAGAATCGTGAGAACGAGTGTTTGGAAAAAAGATTAATTTACAATTTTTCCCATATTGTACATATTAATATAGTATAAATTTTTATACACATTACCTTCCTGATTTTTGCGGCTTTTGTAAGTTTTGGGAGCCCTTACAACTGTTGACCTCTTGATCATTCCCCCTAAGTACACGAAAATCGCATAAAATTGCAATAAGAAAACGAGGAACACGGAATCCGCGTCAAATTTGCGAGTCCTGAAAATGACCTTCAACAAAGCATCAAACAAAGATTTGAAGCAAAAGGTAACCAAAAAATTATTAACCCTCTTTACATACTGAATGAGATAGCAAATATTTTAATGAAGCTGAAAATGGGTGATCTGCTTGGATTTTTCATTTTTTGTGAAGCACTATTCAAGTTTTTTCATCATTACGGCCATGAAAAGTTGATGAAGAGTTCATTATTGTAATAAGTTATCCATGGTTCTTTTGTTTTCACCGTTACAATTTCGTGAATATGCGGATGTAAGCCCGGAAAGACTTGCCACTGTAATTCAATGTGGGCTTATCTGATGATCTTGTAAAGGTAAATACATCCCCCAAATAAATAGCCCCGTATGTTTTTTAGACATTGGGTGCTGACCAAATTAGTTTTAATGGACTCACCCAGTCCGCCCGGTCATGCATCCGCATCAGATCACGTGTGGGAACGCCGTGCTCAACATCCCCTGCAATCGCTAGCCAGATTAGATCAGACGATCCTCGGTATATTGATAACCTATCAAATATATCTTCGAACCTCCTCGCTTCTGTCTTTTGATTTCACTTAGTGGGTACGATTCATACTGGTAGGTGTTACTTGTTAAAGCATCGTCAATCTCCAAATACCTTTTGGCATATTCGATCTCTTAGAAAATAGCTCTGGAAAGGATGACTGATGGCACATTACATCCTAGTATTCTTATCTCCTCTGTTAGGCTATATAAGCCTATTGTTTGCAATAGAAAGTTATACTCTTCTGCGTTCAAAATCACTTGATGCTTTGCAAAACTATTATCAGTTGTGGGTTATATGAAACGCCAATGACTGGAAGTCAGATAATCAGCTCACCGAGTTTCTGCGAGGTCAAGCACAACCAACGCGTATTAACAGGCTGGACTCCATGGACAGGCACTTGAAGCAGTAGTTCTTCACTTTAATTCTCTGGTTTTAAATTGCTATTATAAAGTGTTTTAGTAGTTATATTATTTGTTCTGATCAGTCATCAATGCAGCTGATTCACTTGGCTATCGCGCTCGGATAAGCCAAGATAGGTATCAATCCTGAAGCATGACTTCAGCATATACTAGGAGGTCACATTATCCCCATACCAACATAGTAAATTCTGAGCATGCAAACAAATCACCTGACATGTAGACCTCTTATGTATTTTATTTCGGCCGTTATTGGTGCTTTTATTTGCTCAAAAAATTAGTTCATCAACTACTTGAATAGAAAAGGTGATTTAAGGAAAACTTAACACTAAAAACCTGGTCTTCTCGTTCATAAACAATTGTATAAATCCTGCGAAAATATATTCGAGATCTCACTTAGGACTGTTACATTCTTTTACAAATAATCTTAATAAAACCTCACTCCTTCAGTTCGGAATTTCGCAAACGATTATGTTGCTCCTCATTGATCATGAAATAATATCTGACTCAAATGTCTTTATCGCTGCAGTTGTTTTCACAGTTATGCGTTTTTTGTCGGAATGTTTTTGTTGTTACATCAGCACTCTAAATTAGATATAATAAGTTCAGATAAATGAGAAATATCTTCAGAAAGTTTGTACGGCTCGCTATTCTGTTTAAAATGGGAGGTACGTAAAGTTGATAACTATGCCTAATGATCATGTTATAATCTGCAAAACCTTATTTCTCTCAAGGTGTCAGTGGACACTAATCATACATGCCAGATGTCCAACTTTTTTCGTAGTACTTTTAACAGATCTGTAAATTGTGATGGGCATATCAGCATATCAGCTATGTTTAGGCATATATTGATGGTAGCTGGTAGTGTAGCCAAGATCATACCCCTAGTCCTATTTTAAAGGTTGTACACTCCGAGAAGATAATGACAAACATCAGAGATATTTAGGTAATTAAAAGACCATTTGACGAACATCGCCTGAAAAATGCGTTTAGGCAAAAAATGAACTGCCTTGTATTAATCTAGGAAGAGAACCGAAATATTCTGCAAGGATGGTGACAACAGAATAATTAGTGCAAAGCGAAAGGTGATTTTCCAGATGGATTTACGCACGAAGGAAGTTAAGGTGAAAAGTCCAACTCATTACTAAGGACGAGCGAATGAGGGGGGGGCACATTGATTTACCGTCGAATGCATAAGCCACGAATTCCCTAACAAATATGGTCTATCTTTCCCCAAGTGGCATAACTAAAATACAGATGTTTAAAGGATACTCATAAAAACCAAAGTTTATTTTATTTATCCAGTCTGCCGATTTTTTCTGAGTAGAATACGGGGCTTTTTCGGACCTATGCTTACTCGTATTACTGTAAGAAGTCTAGGAACATTCATTCATTTTGGCTGTACAATCGGGAAACGTAACTATGTATTCCATCCTCTATGAGAAAAAGGATGTGTAGAATTATGGTCTGCTTCGTGATCAGTACAATCATAATAATAGAACTAATAATAAGATTGTAGATGTGTCATGATGTGACTGCCTAATCAATAAGATCTTGCGTGGAAGTCAAATCATTGTCTAAACTGACTTATCGTATCGTAAGTTGTCTGGTATTTTTAGTAACACATTTGTGGCTAAAAATATGATAATATATTTAATGTTAGTCGAGACAAGTTGTACAGAATGACCATTTCTTCAAGGCTGACCCATACCATCCGATTTAACTTGATAAAATATTCTCACGTACACCATAGTTGACTTTCTTTTCGTGTTAAGTGGTGAATATCTATTTTCCCAATAGTTTCACGTTTAGCTTTGAGGATTGTGTGGTTATAAATAATACCACTACAGATGTTCCAGATCCGACATAAGGAATCTTAAGATTTGTTTATTATACAACACAGCTTTCTTAAGCCACACGAAAAATTAACCCATTTGGAGAAATACAAACGTGTGAGTTATTTATGCGCATTACGTTATGGAAAGGAATTGTGCAAAAACGGAAAATACCTGAACAGTGCCACCAATTCACTATACAGTCATGAGTTTCTTCGATGCAGGATGGTGCACCAAATATATATTTAATAAAGACGATTGGTAAGTGCCTGAGAACCAGCAAGTATACTTATAGCTCAATAGGATGCTTACGAGGATCACTCCCAAGTTCTGAAATATAAACACATAATGACTGAACCAACATACAACCATCTTCGTTAAGCCGTCCTTCAAAATATGAATAATATGATGGAAAGTATGTATGTGATATGCTTTTAGCTACCCGGTCCTTAATGGTGAAGTCCTAAGCGCTGAAATTTAAATTTATTCACTTGACAATGGTTGTGAATGACCGATAAAGTGGTTTAGTTGGTTAGTAAATCTACATTGTTTAGTCCAAGCGCAAACGTTTGAGTTTCAATTTTTCCGGTTGTCTTGGTAGAATACGGATACTGACATAACATTAAAAATGTGATTTCGAGTAGATCCTAGCAAAGGGAAATAACCCCAATGTTATTTAATAGTTCACCGAGGCTGCATAAGAAATAATCGAGTACAAACAAAGTGCTCCGGCCCACGAACATGACCTGACTGAAATTATCGCCTTTACTATCAGTCTCTCCTGTTATTTAATTCACCATGCTTTCATTCATGATGGTGATTATTTTATCATGAATATGCCAGCGCTTGTTAGAAAACATTACTCTTAGAATTACAAAGTTACAAGAATACGGGACCGTGAAAACCTCAGGAATGTCAGGAAATATCGGTACAACATTGCATAGTACAGTAGGATGCGGCATACGTTTTCGAACAAAAGGTAAGTTAAAAAGGATGCTCACGGGCAGACAAATGTTTGAAGAGGACCATTCAGTGTGATGTTTTGAGAACGTAATTCCCTCATAGCCATACACAACGAATTCAAACCAACAAAAGCACGCTAAGATACAAAAAGCATCGAAGAAATGTGAAGCAGGATCGATTCCCATTATTTTTTGCCGCAGCAAATTTGGAGATTTATGCTGACGCGCAGTTCGACTTAAATACTTTGTACAGATGATGCACTGAACTCCAAGTTTTTCTGTGTAAATGCTCAGGAAGCATTTGAAATGTGATAGGACTATTATTTAACCGGATACCTCTTAGAAACGTGATCCAGTGGCCAGTGTTTTGTGTGACGACGAGAGGTGAATTTAATAAGCTAACGGTTTTGAATATTATCATTAAAAAGTTAGCATTTCAAAACCTTTTTCGTTTTTTTCAGAAAACCCTGAAATATCAAATTATGTAATAATTTCAGCAAGTTCAAATCTGTGAAGGGACGTCCAACTGAATTTATTTTATCTAATTCATTGGGAAAACAACTTTCGTGCTTTATGCTTGTCTTTATAAAATGGATCGTGACTGGAACATCTTTTGAGAAAATTTATGTTCTCCGTCCCCTGTCGAGCAAGAGAGCGCGTAGAACTGTTGAGATTTTAGTAGTGATCGAATACACACTATAGTGAATTGACTTAGGTTCTTTCACATGAAATTTATACTTAATAAACCTGACAGTTCGACGGAGCTCAGATACTGGAGACAAAGCTTGTTGTCTGAAAGAAAGACTCTCCGAATGTACTTTTCCTAAATCTCTGACGCTACTAAGCTTTCTGAGTTCTAAGTTGCCATGATGCGCGCGTATCTGTAAATAATATGCATCAACATACTTGTTGTAGGATCCAAACTACGGTTTGGATGTTGAAGAATAGCCTTCCGTGACTTTAGACACGCGCCCTTTCCCGTCGAAATCAGAACAAGTAATCGGGTAACTAGCGGTTCTATAATTCATAATAAATTTAATGTAAATCATTACCTAAACAAATATTATCACCCGGCTATTCAACCAATGATTGTTCAATCAATTAAATCTAAATTACAATAAATAAAGAAGTTGATAGAAGATGAGGAAAAATTACCAATCACAACAAATGAACGTTATTCTATCCTGACTGGATAGATCACACACAACAGGAGGAACAAATCAATATGGCTACTGCCAAGAACAAGTGTCAAGTAAAACAACGCAGATGCAGTTCAGGAAGAAACAC